GTCTCATGACGGCTGACGATCCACTGCGGATGCTGTACAGGGAGACGGTGGGCAGCGCGTTTGACAACATGGCGACACTCATGGCCGCGGAAGGCCTTCAGACTTCACGTGTGTTGGTGAGATGATTTGTCATGTTAGTAACCCGGTAATCAAGCTAATGGCTTCGGTTGTAAAGAGGTTGGGCTGTTGTGTCTTGGACACGTTCGTGAAGAGGCGTCATCGTACAAGGTGTTAGTCCTCATGCTAACCCACCCATACCCGGTAGGTGCACACCGCAGTGGCCATCCCTAGCACGAAAGGGGGCTACTTGGTTCCGAAGGCGATGTTCGTGAAAGCAAGCCCGCAGGAGAATTGGTTCACCGACATTGCAATACCGGGAGAGAGGGAGGAGGAGGAGGAGGAGGAGGAGTGGTGGTATGCGCGGTGTCTCTGTATTTTCAGGGCGGTGAACTGTAGCGGGGAGGAAGGTGCATATGTATTCGTGAAGTATTACGAGGAAGAGGGGGTGTGTCCCCAGACTCTTTGCCCCCAACTTGTGCCGGGGCGGAAGGAGGCCACGCACGGGATCATTGAGGTTGCATCGATCGAGCGCATTGTCCATGTGTGCAAGTCCTTTATTAATCCTAGAGTCAGGCTACTCAATAGGTTTGCACTCATCGACTGATGGATTTTAACGCATTGCGACATGAATAACAATATGGCCCAAAGTGTCGCCCCAAACATGGAGTCATAGCGTTGTTTTGATACGGAATTGGGGTATGGCCGGGATCACTGGTGAACTTGATACTTCGAAGTCACAATTGTAACTGCAAAGTAGCATTGGCGACACTTCAGTGTCGTTGGTGCAATGTCACTTTGGCCACTCAGGTGCAATTGTGCGCGCCGATGGTTTTCCGAAGCTTTTCCGAAGATTTCCTGCAGGAAAAGCTACCGTGTACATTTTGTGCAAACTCGGAATTTCGCGATGAGGCGCGCGCGAATCTTACGGCGGATCTGCTGACGGAGCAGAACGCGATCGTCAAGGAGGCGAGCGACGACTCGACGTACTGCGCGCGGCTCACAACGAAGCTCAAGACGCCCTAGGCGCAGGTGGATGCTCTCGAGGCGCAGTCGATCCGCGCTCAGGCGGTTCGGATTCAGGGCGCGCTTGTACAGCAGGCGAAGCGGTCTGTTGAGCGCGTCTCGAGAATGCAGTTTGAGTGGGCTGCGACAAACAAGGACAAGGCGGACACGAGGAAACAAGCTGATGACCATAAGGTTGTGCTGAACAAGGCTAAGAAGGACGCGAACGACGCCGAGGCACTATACAACATGGCGAAAAAACCAAGCACATAAAGTTGCTTCCCTGCAGCTTCAAAGTTGCTTTTCCGCAACTTCTGTTTCGCAAAAAAAAAGTCTAGGTCAAAGGCTTCTGGGTCAGGGTTACAGGGAAAGTGGTTTTCCCGCAACTTTCCCGCAGCTTTGTTGCAACGTTTCCGGCAACATGGCCGCAACCCGCACGGCGTCATGTGGGTCGCTTCTACGTCATGTAGCTGCCAGTGACATTTGCGTCACCATGCGGACATTCCACGGTTACACCTATGTGTTGCCACATAGCTGCCGATTAGCATACATGAAGTCACTATTCCACGTCAGCATACTATTTACACGTGTAATAACGCTTTATGACAGGTGGATGCCAAACCAGAACGAATCGTATCATGCCGCATGTACGGTCGAGATGGCCACAGTTGTACGCACGCGATTGTCGCGTGGCAACTCCGCTATGCCAACCGCAGCACGGCACATGGCCGCACCGGATACGCCGACAACCTCCAGATCTCACACCCATACGCCTCATCTCTACCGTCCGTCCGATACAAATGCCATCCCACGATTTGTAGTGGAATCCACCTGTACCTACAAACGCCGTCCGTTCGGTGATAGGGTTTCCCAACTAGGACTACTAATACCAATCGCACGTTCACACGTAATCGTCGCAGATCTCACGATAACACACCGGTGACCATATCCATCACACACGTGGCAAATAGCCATTAGACACCGTCGTCGGGCAAACAAAAAAGCCGCGGTTCATTGATGAGCGGTTCGGCATATTGTACGGTTGCCCTCTATCCACGTCGCTAGACTAGCGTGACATCTAACGGCTTCTATTTACCCCGCCGCATCTGTCGCCGCGATTAGCGCCGCATTTGTCGCTGTACTGCGCGGAATGCAGAGTGTTGCGTTTCAACCATTCTCGTGTCCAACATGCACAAGGTCTCCGCTAGGTGTGCAATATCCAACATATATGTCACCGATTTAGTGCACAAATGCTCTGAACCAACAACAACCACAACCTGTCCCCACTAAACCACTACACTAGTCTACGACACACAATTGGATTAAACACACTATCAGGACGTCACCCATCTGTTTCACTATCCGATGCTTCCGACGCGGAGGACTCATGTTTTTCGTCTTCGGAGGCTGCTTCATCTTCCAGGAGGCATTCCAGGTCGCAAGATGAAAGGCGGAGCCCAAGCCTGCCCCACTTCCAGGACTTCTTCCCCTCGTCGTAGGGCACTTCATTCCGGCATACTGCATCCGCAATGGCATCGAAGGCCAGCTTCTGAATCCTGCGCACAGAAGCGCCATTCTCGCACGGAGAGTTGTGTAGTTTCCCCTTGCGCTTCTCCCAGTTGATAATGGCGTCCGTGATCTGCGAAGGCAGGAGAAGCCCATTTACAACGGCGAGTTGAAGGAAAGTGGCTACAACATATGTTCACATCGGTGTAAACGTACAAGGTGCTCGAGCCACGACATGTGGTACAGCTTTATAGTTGTTTCTTTGTCCTTCCGCTTCCCTCCGAAAGCCGCGATGGCACATGCCGCGAACGCTCCGGATGCAAATGGCAGTCCATCTTTGCTGATGTGCCACTTGCACAAGGTCGGGTCCCCTGCGCACGTGGAATGCAAAACGGGTACAACGATACCGCGTACGGAAAAAGGGGAGGGTTCAAAGACATGTCTGGTCCACTATGGCACGACACAGGAGTTGCGGAAAGTCGCTCCGGCCATATGACAAGCGAACACGCACCATCGTCTGGGACAGGGACGCAATATCTCTTTCATGCACGCTCCTCAGTGCGCTCCGTCTTACGTGCCCAAGGACTGGCCCTGTCCTCGTCGTCACGGAAAAGACCAATTCGTGGAAGAAAAACTCCGCGAGCGCGTCCGGCCAACCCTGTTTTGTACTCGGACAATGTCTTGTTCAGATCCTGCCGTCGAGCCTTATCAGCGTCTAAAGCCAGAGTCGCAGTTTTGGGAGAAATGGTGGACATGACATGGCATAGGCCCGCGTTTTTGGCGTCGCGACTCGGATAGAAGTCCATCTTCTCGTTCGGGGCTTCTACAAACAGATAATCCTTAACCATGTCGCAAACACCCTGCGACATTGAAAATAGTTGTACGGGGGGGGGAAACGGTGACGACATATGTAGTGTATCCACCAACTGTGCCTCGACGTGAGCAGAACACACTATGCGAGGCCTCACCTTCCAAGCCTTCTCTGCTGGAAGGATGTCAAGGGCGGTTTGGAGCACTGGCGACTTGTCGTGACGCGTGTGCCGTGCCACTTTCGCCGGCAAATCGTCCTCATCGCACGTGGATTCTTCGTCATCATCTGACTGGCGTTTCCGCTTCAAAACTTCCCGGCCGAGCGAAGCTGCGGCACTTGTGGACGCCCGCGTGCGCTTACGCCGTTCGCCAAGGCGGATGATGGTCAGTACGTGTGACTCAAGACGAGCCAGTGTCTTCGCGGTATCATTCTGGGAATCACGCAACGCATCAAATTCCTCGCGTGTGACTTGGCCATCGGCTGCATCTATCCGCTTCCTCGAATGTGGCGCTTTTGTGGCCTGCTCCTCCTCTGATCCGTTCTCGCCACACGGATCGTTGCTTGACGACTGACCACCACCGTTTCCATCCTCGTCGTCCTCATCTTTGCCTTCCATTAACTCGTCTATCAGGCGTTCCTTCACGGCCTCGGTGTCCTCCTCCCCTTGCGGTGCGTTGGCGACAATGGGCGTGCAGGCTGCCTCCGCGTTGACGGCCCCGACAGCGTTGGCGCTGCATATCTGCAGCGGCACTTCTCGAGTCTCTGTGACCAGTTGCGTGGTAGGTATAAGGGTGTGTAGTTTGCGTGCGCATACGGCATATATCACCACAGACAAGCATTAGCACTGGTACATGTCACGTCACAAATGTTACCTTCGTCATGCCCCGCGTTCTTATCCGCGGCGCCACATTTTCCTGTGCTTGTTTTACGCCTCTTGGGTTCCGCTAGGGGTCGTCCTTTCTTCTTCCGCTCCCCGTATTCATATGACTCAGCTAACCATGACGGCGCAGTCTTCGCCCGCTTGGAACGACCGCCGTCGGTGGGAGTCATATCGACCTCTGGCGGAGACAGCATCTCAGACCGCATACACAACGGGTTCGAAATGGCGTAGCTTTAAACCACCCCGGGGTTCTACCTTCGCTCGCATCAGTCCCCTTACCACTCTTGTGTAAATCGCAATGCTCGATAACGGAGTTTGTCACCGCACTATTTGCCTCACGCTCTTGGCCACGCGCACAATTCTACACATGTCACGGTTAGAGTGGCCAGTTTGATTACAGACAATTGTCAGCCACAATTTCCACATGTAACATGTCGCCGTGCCAGGATTGTCACATCGTCGATGCTCGTCCACGTTTCTGTCAGATGCGTTACTCCAATTATACACCCGCTTTTTTCACCATTTGCTACTACCCCCAACCGTTGTCACAGTTTCAACATGTGCATCGTTTAAGAGGTCTTTGTCATATATTCACATCTCCTGGATATGGACAGTTCAAAACCGTGGTAGATGCGATGCTTACATTTCCAGATTCGGCTACCCGCCACCAGGTCTAAGTCCTATCAGTATGAGCACACAACTACAACAACCCCTCGTCCAATGGCCACCCTGTTTAGTGCTTCATGCAACACCCTGTGCACGGTTGACATCCTCCCATCCATCATCTTCGTCGAAAGTATCGTTTCCAAGTTCATACACAGCATCATCGTCAACGGACTCATCGTCATCCATGTAGTCCTCTGTTCGGTCCTCTGGCTCGTTTGCCATAGGCTGGTCCTCTGTAGTCTGCGTGATCGCCTCCACCTCCTCAACGTCACTAATGGCCCGGGACACTCTGCCCTTTCGCCGCGAACGGCGATCGACCGGCTGCGCGTCGTCCACGCCAGCCATTGCGGCTCTCCACTCCCTCCATCTGTTCCACCGCCTGTACTTCACGAGTAGCCTTAGGATCTCCTCTGTGCAGCCTGCTAAAGCCTGCCTGTCACCGTCGGACAGCTCAACCGTGCAGCTGATGCGTGAGTTCGGGCGAAGTACAACAGCTGCCGCAGCATACGCGTATGACGCCTCGTCCTTGTCCTCGTACGACCCTAGACGAACCTGCTGACGGCGAGCAGATATGATCCGGACGTAGTACCTCTGCTTCTCTGCGTTCCACATAACTCCCGTTCGGCCGCTGCTTGCGACCCTTCCAGGGTTACCTGGAGCTGCGGGCACGGGAGTCTTAGCGCGGCTGCGCAAAGCCACTGCAAGATGGTCGCGCTGTTGTTGCCTGACCACAGCAGGTGTCGCGTCTCCGGCAGTAACTTGGCTATCTTTCTCGGCAGATGTGTGAGGTGCAAGACAGGGAGAGATTGATGGCACTGCCGCCAGTGCACGCGTTGGTGGAGTGTGCGCGACTTCCATTGGGCCACTTCTGTCCGCGGTAGGGTCTGCTTTAGCGGGCTTGCGTGGAGTCGCCGACTCTACCAGCGTGTCCACCACGGCACCAAGGTGTTGGCGCGCCCCTGCGTCCAGCTCGTCCGACGTCACGCCTTTGCGGATGGCCAGATACTCGATCTTGGCCGTCAGAACTTGTATGTCGTGCTCAATCACAGCGAACTTCTCCTTATGGTCTAGCAGCTCTCTTCGGATGTCCACGGGAGGGTCGACGCAGATGTATCCGTTGTCGTCGATAACGGGAATAGGTTGCAGAGGTATGCGGAGACCCTGGCGCTGCAGCTCGGGAATCAGCGTTCCCTCGGCATGAGAACAAAGATCCCCACGCATCTTGTGGCGGTACCTCTCAGCGCTCACCCCCTTGAACGATATGTACTCTCTCACGGTTATGAACCCAGATGTCACCAGTGCTTCGAGATACTGGCACATGTACACTCCGCAGTCCCAGCTGTTAGGTTGTTTGGGGATCTGGTGACCCTGCGCACCATCGAGACACCATGTTTCCGTTCATCAGAACGCGCTCCCGTATTAGAAAGCAAGTGGGATAGAATGAGCCATACTGTCTTTGCAGCATCTCACCTCCATAATTATCGTTTCTGCCTTGATGAGCGCTTGCCTAGACGCCTCCTGGTCCACCTCCGGATGATCGCGTTTGCACATGAGGTGCAATAACCTGCACGACGATATAGCCAACCGGTCAGATGAGGTCGCAGGACGTCACCGCTGAAAGGGGGTTGCACGGTGATATATAGCGAGTCTCACGCTTTAGTCCCGTCAAAGGCATCAGTAGTCTTGGCGTGGAGGCCGTCACTGTCGAACAGAATGAACTCCACAGGTGCGGCCGTCTGGCTTACAATCCTGCTGGGGTTGGTTACCACCATCAAAGAATAGTGTTTCCTGCACAATTGAGGGGCCTTTGTTAGGCTGGGGCTACAGACGGGCTTATTACAGCAGCTTGCAAAAGACGTACTTACCGGGCATATACCGGGACGGCGATGTAATCGTACTCGAACACAGACGGGCCCGTGCACCTCCCAATCGGCTTCTTGTGAAGCTTGGCATACGCATACGCCTTGCTGTCAAGGACCACCCATGATTTCCCGTTCGGACACCTTGGGTACCTGATGTTCAGGAGGCTGCACTGGTACGAAGGGATAATGCACGATAAAATCTTGAACGTTAAAGTTGGCATACCGTAGGTGGCGACAAAGCAACCTAGAGGAGTATCGCCAACCAAAAACGTACATGTTATGGAAATCGAAGACCGCGTCGCCCAGATATTCCTTGTCGGCGAGCGTCAATGTGTCGTGCGCAGTCACTTGACAGCCCACACCCATGTGGTTATACAGAGACACCGTCTTAAAGGTCGTTGAAGATGGTGCGTTCAGTAGAGCAGTCAGCGCGTCATTCGGCGCGGGCTCATCTTTGACGCATGGCAGCCGCGAGCCCCATGCTGAAACCGACGCGGCCACTGCGGCCTCGGTATTCGTATCCCCCTGCTTGAGTTCACGCGAGCGCAGCCGCTTGTTGCTCATCGATTCCGGGATCGTGGTGTTATCCCGCCGCGGCGCTGCCGGTGGCCTACGCGATGTCATTGCTTGTGGACTATGGAGGCCTCGTTTAGAGGCCTGGGCTTTGGTTCGCGGTACCATGGCGACTTCATGAGAAAGGCCGAAACCCTAGGGTGGCAAGAACTAAACTGTCGGGCTGTAGTGCAATTGTTGCGTTTATACACTCCACCAGGCATCTTCGGCGATAAACATCTGATTTGCTCAGACGACGGAGACTCAGGGACAGATGAGATTGTAGAATGTGGATACCACCATGGCGGTTCGTGATTGGCAGCGGGTTCCAGCCATATTTGACACTTGTCACAGTGCAATTGAGTCGAGATTACTGTACCCTCGTCAGCATGCACCGCCGATACTACGCGGAACCTTTATAAACTCAATTGTGCAGCCATTATCGGGACGACATATGTCCCGTTATGATTATAACCAAATGCGATCAACAGCGATGTAACATTTCGGCAACCAAATGGGTTTATTTCGACTTCGTTTCAGTTACACGATTGAACAATTGTCGATCACTGAACGTATCGAGGATGAGTGGAGCATCCAAATTAAATGATGTATATTGATGTTCAGGGCGATGCGGCGTGATAGTTCCTAAACAGTATAACTATACCATGCAATGTAACAGTGTACTGACGTACGCATGAATGCGCACACTATCTCGGAACCCCAACTGACCCGGGCATATACTGTACAGTGTACGGAAATGTCACTAACAGATTAGCTTTCAGGGCACCAACATGTGGTTTCAAGAGTGCACAACCGTGGTAGCCTATGAGGTGTACCCACGTCATTGCGCAATCAGTAGCTTCTATGGCCAATCCACGCCTGTCAGGGCAAAGAGGGAGTGGCCAGCTTGCGCCGATGTTTTTCTCACGCTAGACTCACTCATTGTCAATTAGCAGGTACATTGGACGCTGTACTCGCCAATCCTACCGGTTATATCATAGGCCGCCATTTGTAGCAGACGCCACTTTACTTCCATGGCCGCTCTAAAGGATCTCTTGTCGCGCCTTGGCGCACCTCCCAGCGACGTCTACATATTTGTAGAGGTTTCTCTCCTACCTGCTCTGCAGCCATACCTGCATCCGTTCGTCGGTCGCAATGGGAATGATATGAAGAGGCTGTCTATCGGCCTTCTCTATTCCGCAGACGGCGCGCATCGCTTCAGGCCAATTGTAGTGAGCGCTGACCGGGAGCCACTGAGGCTGGGCCACGATGTCAGCGGCGACCAGTGGGCATATGTACGCCGTACTCGGTCCGGCCGCATAACCCCCCAGGTAATGGCCAATTGTACTAGAGATGACACGCAACAATGTCTCTTATATATGGACTCAATACGTTGGTGCTAAAAATATGTCTCTGTGATACTCTATGTTGTTACGTGCAGCTTTTCACGCAGTTCATGCTAGGCCTCAACGCTGCGAAATTTGCAGAGGACCGTGACATCGTCGTCCTTGTGTCCTCGCGTAGGCACAAGCTCACTTGGGGAGAGGGCAAGCGAGAGCCGAGTGGGCCCTTCATGGTGCACCACCTAACCCATACTCGCATTGTGCAGCTTCATGATGTTGTACCAGACGTGGGGAACCCCGTCGTGCAGGGCATTGTCACATTCTTCAGGTCCGAATTCCACACAATGTGGGTGGACCACCAGACTCGCTTCATGAGGCGCGTGCCTCCAGCTTGGGTGTGGACCAGCAACTCTCCATCGGCCGCGAACACGTTGCAGTGGACATTCCAGGCACTATGGGGGGTGGCGACATCTCACATTCAGCTCGCGTTTTGGCGCACTGGGTGCGTCCCGGACGAGTGGCTGCCTCGGCTTCAGGCGATCAACTGCGACATGCATGTCGAGGTTGTGGAGCAGCTCGTCGTTAGCCTCACGGGCCTGCAGAGGAGGCTGGACCAGTTGGACATCCCCGACTGCGTGATGGATGCATTGGACTACGCAACTTGGGATGACACCATGGACGAGGATACGGCCGAACGTTTTCCAGAGCCGGTCATCCGTCGGATTGATGATTCAAGCTGTGTCGGCCGTGTCAAATGGGACGACAGGACTCGCCGCCGGCTCATGCGTATGGCATCTGATGCGTACACAAGGCTTGCTAGCGCGACAGGAGTAGCTCCGAGTGTCGTCGTCACGCTTAAGCGCTTGGGGAACCCGGACCTCGTTGACCGTCTGCTGCGCACACCAGAGAAGAAGGTTAGGAGGCATTCATACGCGCCTTCCTCGTCCACGTCTTCCACGGCCAGCGAGGAGATATGCTTCAACTCCCCAACGGCATCCATGTCTAGCGTGCATGGGGATATTGAGTATGGGATGTAGTAACTGATGAGCCCTATTGATCTCAGTAACCGGTGTATTTGTCGAATAATACGCACATTGTCAATCATTGTGTACGTAACGAGATTGTTCACGTTGGGGATATAGCACATTCCACGCTCAATCCGAGAGCGAGTAAAATGTTCACCTCCCCGATATGGCACGTACTGAAGAACGCGCGAAGTAATTTTGCACTTTGTGCTCGGTACACCCAATTGACCATGAAAGCGTGCCAACACTCCACAAACCATTCCACACCGCTTCCAATCGTCCCACCAGCCCGTTCCTCGATTTCCGTAGGACAGACACTTACAAAACCCTAACGTCCGCCTAATGTTACCGATTTCAGTTGGTAGTGGCATGATGAGCGCAACGCGTAGTAAAGCGCGCGACGTGCTGGAGCCTCGTCGGCGCAACACCCGGGGTTATTTCATACGGTCTAAGCCCACTATAGCCTACGCCATAATGCAGGTGCAAGGTGCCATAATGTCACAACGAGGTCAGACCCTTATCGCGGCCACGATTCTTAGGTCTCTGGACCCATTCCTGGGTAGTGGAAGGCGCAGTCCTAGACAGCACAGGGCGCGCGCGATTTCAGAAGCCCGTGCGTCTCTTGCAATAACACCCGATGCACCCACACCGTTCATGTAGCTGAGGCTCATATACGCCACGTATCCGGACGAGTCGGAGTCGAGCATTACACGTGCCAAAGGTCGCCGGTTTATGACGTCAATAGCTGATTATAGACTCGTAAATCACAGCGCAACAAGCCTCGAGGATGTCATACTGCTGGAGTTACCGACATTTGACTACAGAGTCGTTCTAATGGCCGAGGCAAGGGCGATGGGATATGAGGTGAGGATCGTTGGCGTGCCGACTGGGTGTGTTTCCGATGGCCATTAAAGGTGAGGGGCGTTTATCTGGTGTGCAGGAGGAGAGACATCGGTCCGATGGGTCCAGGATTTCGGCACCTCACTCAAGAGACATATGCACGGGATGTGGCACCTCATCCATTGTAAGACGTATACGTTGTTCCGTTGATGCCCTTACAAAGGACGGTGTGTGTTGTGGTGCCTGCATATCCTACGCTAAACCCAGATGAAGCATGTTTCAGGTGCACAGGCCCAATGTGATGAAGGACATGGACGAAGGAGTGCGCATCGGGGATCTTAGTCGTACTCTGGGAATGATACCTTGGTGGTCCAAGGTATCTACTAAGCCCATGCAAGAACAGTCCATGACGGGCACCTCATCCAAGACTATTGATTGTGCCTACGTTCGCCTAGTAAAGTATAACGCCAACCGGTAGACAGGACCTTTTGACTTATGGGCGTGTGGGCATAGTTTGTTACGGAACAGGATTAGAACTGTGCAGTCGAAATGTTAAAATACTTGCAGATGTAGCCAGTTTGAGATTTGGTGTATCATGTAAACATGAAACCTTTTGAGCTTCTTTGTACATGTCGTGTAACACACACAGTAAATCAATCGGGTGTACAACGTCGAACGGCGGGATTTTGGCGGCGATATCGCTGACGGAAATGGTTTCCGAAGTGGCTTCGAACAATGGCGATACAAGGAGTCATTTAGCACTGTGTGGCTATTCGTTCAAACCCTAACATTATTCCCGTTATGGCCTCCCCTAGCAGCAACGACACAGAGGTAGCGGCGCGTCACATAAACAAGCTACTGGGTGGTAGCTTTGATCGAGATGGAACGCGTATGCAGGAAACGCCAGCGTGTGGTGATATAAACGCGGGTGCCGACATAAGTCGAGATAAAACCGTCAATGTGACTGTTACACCCGAGCCACACACTGGTAATGGCTGACAGCCGGTGGTAGACTCATCTGATGATGAAACGGAGGATGGAGTCGCGGGGGCTACGCAGTCAATCACGTGACCTTTGAACCACGAACAGCCCACGATATCAGCAGGGGGGAATGTAGATGCTGCACACTCGGTACCTAGTAGCTGGGAGAGGATGCAGATTGAGGAAATAGCCGCGGGTGCGGAGCGCGAAGATCCACCGGCCGATTCACGCGAAGGTTCTACCCGCGTGAATGATCTCTTCGACTTCTTCTTCCCTGGCAACAGGGGCGACGCCAATAATGTGCCCGTAGAGACGGGAGAGTTAGACCCTCCAAACCCGTCCAGGTCTAGCTCGGCGTACAGGGTCCCGGGTACTTTCGTGTCTAGCGCCGCTACTCCTACGAGGCACGTCCGGTCACAGACAGGTGAGTACCAAACAACATGAATTGCTTGACTGCGTGCTGCCACTTTTGGGAGCCATGTTGCACGTTATTAACCTCGCGCTGCTATGCGTTGCGCACATGTCCCATAGGATGTCCGGATGAACGTACACACGAGTATGGGCGGCGCCGCGAGAGGCGGAGGCGTACGCACGTCGAGGACCTCATAGGTAACGACCGTCCTGTTATTTGGCGTGACCGATGCTTCACATTACCTCACGACTTGTCTTTGTGCCCTTATGGCAGATGGTACCAGGGCCACCAATATTGATGGAGCGTTGCTCCTGTTAGATGTACTTGATCGTCTCTTGCGGCGACGTCGTAGTCGGCGTGACCACCGTGGCAGCTATTACTGATAAGTTTACCCCAATATGGCAGGAATGTTAAGCAATCCGTACTTGTAGTGCTTTTAGTTGCCCTGACCCCGCTTATGTATTCGATTTTAAGTATGCCATTGAGTGGTTGTGTGACACATGTGTAAAAATGCATTGGCAATGGCATAGGTTTCCTAGGGGTGTGAACAATTGTTCTGAAATTTCACCGTTTATGTCTGGCAAGGATGGGAGATAGTCCATCGGAATTGACAAACGGGGTTCGAACATTGATGATCTATGTTTTGCTTTATCGAGAATATTCCCACGTCGTGGTGTAACAACCGCGCCTGAACAAAGCAATTGCATACTTCACGAAGGGATGTCTTACCGCATGCATTTCAGACGGTTAGGGTTTCTCGCTACGGATAAGGCCGCTCGCCAGGACTCTCCGCCCTTTTGTGCGTACACGATGTATTTGACAAGCCATTATAGCAGCTGTGATAATCGGGTGACGTAGGCGGAAGACCCATGTTCCGAACATGGAGTAGTAGTAACTGGAGTAATAGAACGGTCTGCGGTGCGCGAGACGTGGTGTACGGAGTTTCGGTGGTAGGATGCAGGGCGTGCGCAGCTCGAAAACAGCATAGCTCCTACATGCGTGTTGTGGAGAACATGCATGACGGTAATGGTTAGCTAATGTGAATTAGAGGGGAAGTCAGGGAACGGCCATTGGGTGTGTGCGCAGATTAAGACACATGGCAGGGAATAGGTGCGGGTCGTGCGGGCAGGAGCTAGAGTCAGACAACCTACTGAGAATCCATCTGTATCGCAATGACACGTGCAGGGACACGCTGCTCGAGAGGCTCGAGAGTAGGGCGGTGGAGGCGTTGGCGGAGGCTTTGGCCGAGGTGAGAAATAGCCCGCATGATTCGGACAGTGAGTCAGTCCCGAGCAGCCCCCACTCCGCCGACTCGCTGTTCAGATATTTGAGAGTTTCCCGAGCACGCGGATTTTGTGCGCGGGTACGTGTCGACGTCGGACGATGGATCTGTATCCACAGTTGGCGACCTGTTCAACACCTTGAACGAGCTGTACCTGTTCTTCAAGGACGCTGATTTGTCGGACAGAGAAATAAATAGAGTGTTGCACATATTCAACCACCCGGGATACGATCCAGCAGCGGTTCGGCGCTGGCAGAACGTCGCCGACGTCAGGCGGTTTGGGGAGGAACACGCGCCGGACGACATGGTGCCGTGGCTCAAGGCAGAGATTGAGGTGCGGGGCCCCGGAGGAAGGTGTCAAATGCTGGAACTGCTGTACAAGGACACCAAGCTGGTGAGCGATTGATGGTTGGTGCTGCACGGAGTCGGCGAGTGTATGTCCGTTTATGCACTGGCTATACACAGGCTTCACGCGCCTCCTTGTGAACAGATTGCGCAGAAGATGGTGAAGACATTCGTGAATGTTAGGGGATTTGTCAAACGGCCGCGGCGAGATCCAGAGGATACGGCTGAAACAAGACATTTCAGTACCCCCGACACAGGGACTTGGGTGGAAGAGGCGCAGGCAAGTAGAGGCAAATGTTCCCAAGCATCACATTAAACTCTGATGTGAGTTAGTCTGACTCTGTTGGTCGCCTTGTGTCGTTGTCAGGCGGAACTGCCGGAGGAGGATTCTATGGTGCTGGGTGTCATCTCGTACAGCGACAGCACTTACGCGTCGGGGAACGGACGCCTACAGGCATGGCCAATGTTGTTGGGTTTGGTCAATGTTCCGGAGGAGTTACGGGGGCGTGAGCCTGGGCATGCGCTAGTGGGTGTGCTCCCTTTTCCGCCGGAGTGGGCATCGGCGACGGAGAAGACGCGGGTGTATCAGAAGGCGTATCGCATCGTGATGGGTCCGCTCATGCGTGAGAACCGCGAGTAAGTGGGCCGAATGCATGCTCTAGGCCTGTTCGAGGCGAACGGGGTCATTGTCGGTTTCTGAGACCCATCAAACATGTACGTGGTGCATGCAGTGGTCCTCTTCGAAGCTTCGATGTGTCAGACGGCCGGGGAGGTGTCGTCAAGGCATATCCATGCCTCTATGCATTTGTTGGCGACTATCCGGAAGGGTGCCGGGCCACAGCAACGATGCAGCAGGCATCGCACAGACCGTGCTCGAGCTGCTACATCAAGAAAGGGCACCTTCATGACCTGCCAAACAAGTCATTAGTGCGCACTGTGAAGGGAGAGCGGCACGCGGCGGCGAAGATACTGAGCGCTACGACGGTGGAAGGCGCTGCAGTGATCCAGGCCAGGTGGTCTACGCATACGATCACGGTGCGCGCTCGATGTTTGTGTGGGGCAAGTCACATGGCCGCGGGCATGATTGTAGCGGCTTGATGTTGCTTTTTATGATGAGTCTGACAGCACCATCCAACGTGCAGAGCGTCCTGGAGCGCTGGAACTTCTCTGAGACGAAGTGGGGTAACGTCTTCCTGGCGGTTGTTGGCGACATATTGCATGTGCTGGATTCTGGGGTGCTGGTGCATATGGCCACCTGTTTCATGGAGGGGAAGTCGAAGGCCGAGATTCGGGGGTTTGATCAGTGAGTAGACAGAGATTCTGTGAACTGTTTTGTATGCGGTAGTGCGTCCGTGGCGGAGCTCACCACGGGAACAATCCAATCTCGTTGCTTGTGTGTGATTGGTGCGTGGAACAGCCGCAAGTTTGGCGTGAAGGGCGAGACAAGGAGTGTCTTGGTGCGCATCCCGGGTGGCTCCACCTTTTTCCGCAGCGGGGCGAATTACGCGGCGTTCGAGTATCATGGCATGATGCAGGTTTTCCCTATTGTCATTTCCGACCTGTGTGTGGGGCGCTCTGCGGAGGAAAGGGAGCAGAGGGATAAGGAGGTTCGTGCCTTCCACTACTATGCGGTCTTCTACAAGTCCCTGCTGGCTGTGACAAAGCACACGCGGCTCACAATCGCCATCGCGAGGCAGCATGGCATCTCGTGAGTGAACACGATGGCCACTTGTTTCGTTGCTACCATAGGCTATGTTGTACATTGTGGTGATTCTTCCAATGGTCGCACTACAATGTGCATACAACTTTGTGTAGACTGGTGGCTGCACTGCAGGCGGCTTTCCCGAGGCAGAAGTCGAAGTGGAACTTCGTGAAGCTACACGAAGTTGTACACCTCATCAATGGCATATCCATGAGGGGTTTGCCGCACGAGTATTCCACGGAGCTGTGGGAGCATACCCACAAGGGCACCGTGAAGAGCCCCGTGCGCGGAAGTAACTGGAAAGACATACCAAGGAGGATTGTCGAGGAGGAGACGCAACGCGAGATCACAAGGGAGATTGCGGCGCTGTCAGGAGGAGGGAAAACTTACTACACCGCCCTGCGAGAGGTACACAACGCGTGGCCATGTAGTGTTGGTGGCATTTGTTAAAGGCACGCAGGTGTGCGAGGTGATAAGGGTGTAATGACTCCACCGGTTCATCCCATGCGTGCTCACAACCCACCTCTCAGGCTGTGAGAAGCATGAAGCCCGCGCTGACCCGCACAAGCAAGGCCATGTGTCTCATGACGGCTGACGACCCACTGCGGATGCTGTACAGGGAGACGGTGGGCAGCGAGTTTGACAACATGGCGACACTCATGGCCGCGGAATGCCTTCAGACTTCACGTGTGTTGGTGAGATGCTGTGTCATGTTAGTAACCCGGTAATCAAGCTGATGGCTTTGGTTGTAAAGAGGTTGGGCTTTTGTGTGTTGGACACGTACGTGAAGAGTCGTCATCGTACAATGTGTAACTCCTCATGCTAACCCACCCATACCCGGCAGGTGCACACCGCAGTGGCCATCCCTAGCACGAAAGGGGGCTACTTGGTTCCGAAGGCGATGTTCGTGAAAGCAAGCCCGAAGGAGAACTGGTTCACCGACATTGCAATACCGGGAGAGAGGGAGGAGGAGGAGGAGGAGGAGGAGGAGGAGGAGGAGGAGGAGGAGGAGGAGGAGGAGGAGGAGGAGGAGGAGGAGGAGTGGTGGTATGCGCGGTGTCTCTGTATTTTCAGGGCAGTGAACTACAGCGGGGAGGAAGGTGCCTATGTATTCGTGGAGTATTACGAGGAAGAGGGGGTGTGTCCCCAGACACTTTGCCCCCAACTGGTGCCGGGGCGGAAGGAGGCCACGCACGGGATCATTGAAGTTGCATCGATCGAGCGCATTATCCATGTGTGCAAGTCCTTTATTAATCCTAGAGTCAGGCTACTCAATAGGTTTGCACTCATCGACTGATGGATTTTAACGCATTGGGACATGAATAACAATATGGCCCTAAGTGTCGCCCCAAACATGGAGTCATAACGTTGTTTTGATTACAGAAGTGGGATATGGCCGAGATCAATGGTGAACTTGATACATAGAAGTCACAATTGTAACTGCAAAGTAGCATTGGCGACACTTCAGTGTCGTTGCTGTGCAAATGAGTAAGCAGGAATGAGATGAACTATGAATGAAAGCAGTACAAATATGAAACCCTAACTGGGTTGTACCCCCTATGGGATACCCCACTACAGCCTACACAGCAGTATAAGCTATAGATATGTTCTGACACACCCCCATAGGCAAAGTGGGGGAGAACAAGGGGTCACAAGACCAGTCAAGCAAGACAAAGCAAAGCTCAGGGTGGATCACAAAGTCACCACACAGTCCGAGCACAAGAGCTAGGCCAAAGGCCAGTTCACAAGCAAGAGTACAGACATATATATATAAAACTAGACAAGCAAGAGCAGGTATATATATATGTCACAGTACAAGTAAATTCAAGAGGAGAGCAAGTGAGGCAAGACAAGCACAAGACCCAGATGGGTGCAGAAGCGCTGATGGTCACAAGGCGCAAGTGCCTTGGTGAACACATCAGCAGTGTTGGCCTCAGAGGCCACGTACGCAAGTCGCAACTGACCACGCTGCTGCAACTCACGAGCAAGGAAGTAGCGGAGAGCAATGTGCTTCGTTCTGTGCTCCAAGCGCTGCTCTCGACACAAGGCCAGCATAGCCTTGTTGTCTACGTACAGCACTGGAGGAGAACGAGGCGGCTCTCCAAGGTCAGTCAGCAGGTAGGTGAGCCAGCGAAGCTCCTGTGCAGCCATGGCTCCGGCGTAGATCTCAGCCTCACAACTGGAGCCGAGAACCGAAGACGAGCGAGTAGACCGCCACGAGACAGAGCCGGAACCAAGGCTGAAGGTGTAACCCTGTGACGACCGCTGCGTAGCCTGGTCGTCAGCCCAAGAAGCGTCCGCGTGGCCGGTAAGGACCACTGGACTCCGCCCTCTAAGCACTAGCCCCATGCCTGACGTACTGCACAGGTAGCGCAATACCCTCTTCGCTGCAGCCATGTGCTCCGGTCTGTGTCTCCCAGGAGCAACATAGCGAGCAAGAATGCTCAGAGGGTATGCAAGGTCAGGTCGTGTGCAGGTCATCAGGTACATGAGGCAGCCAACAAGCTCTGCATACGGACCACTCGACTCTACGGACTCATCCGAAGGCAGAGCTGAGAGTGAGTGGCGAGTAGGCAGAGGAGTGGCCTGAGGCGAGGAGTACGTGAAGCCGAAGCGCTGAAGGACCTGCTGCACCATGTGTGACTGGGTCAAGGTAATGGTGCGGCGTGCTCTGTCCCGAGTGATCTGCAAGCCAAGGTAGCTGCGCAGTTCACCCAGGTCTGTGCACGTGTGTCTCTTCAGCAGCTCGGACTTCACGTAGGCGAGTCGAGCAGTGTCCGCTGTGGCAAAGACCAAGTCGTCGACGTACACGAGGATGTAGAACGGCGGCAGGGAAGTGTCGGTGCGAAGAAACAGCGACGGGTCAGCAGTAGAAGGAGCAAACCCAAGAGCCGCAAGCGTAGTCCTCAGTGTGTCGTGCCACTCACGCGGTGCCTGGCGGAGACCGTAGACTGGCCGTCTGAGGCTCCACTGGGTGCCAGGAGGGAAAGTCCCAGTGAAGCCAGGTGGACGGCGAAGCCAGATCTCCTCGTGCAGGCTACCCTGCAAGAACGCAGTGCTGAAGTCGAGAGAGTGAAGCTCGTAGTCGCGCTGAGCGGCTATGTGCAGCAGCACCCGAAGAGTAGTCATCTTCGGGGTGGGAGAGAAGGTCTGAAAGTAGTCAACTCCCTGCCGCTGACTGAAGCCACGAGCAACGTACCGTGCCTTGAAGACAGGTGGAGAGCCCGGCGGCCGCTTCACCCTGAAGATCCACATGCCACTGACGATGTTCGCCCCAGGAGGGGGAACCGCGTCAACGTAGGTGCCTGTGGACTTCCAGGAAGCCATCTCTGCATCCATAGCTGCCTGCCACTGAGAGGAGTAGGGACCCTCTATGGCCTCCGCGTAAGAACGCGGAGTCGGGATGTCTAGTGCATCCGGGTCTCCCTCAGGGGCAAGCAGTACAGACGCGAGATGAGGTGAAGCAGCCGCTAGACACTGTAACTCCTCCTGCCTGTCCTCTAGGACGTCCGTGCCAAGAGCACACTCACCCCCGACGGACGGAGGACAGACAGACGCAGACTCAGCAACAAGACTAGCAGCGTAGTCGAGACGACAGCGAGCAGCAAAGTCGACGAGCTCAGCGACTAGAGCAGACGCAGCAGTGGACTCAAAAGAGGGGTCAGTGACGACAGTAGCAAGCAGACGCGTGACAGTAGGACTCGCAGCGCGAAGAGAGTCCGACTCAGGGTCGGCAAGCGCAGGAAGAGAGGACTCAGGAGGAGAAGGCAAAGGGGCACGCAGAGGAGCAGTGGACGGACGCAGAGACATCCGGTGCGTGCCAGGGACAGGAGGAGGACGCTGACGCGAACTGCGACCACTAGCGCGAGCAGCACGAACAGGCGACGCGGGGCGAGACGCAGGCTCACGACGCTCAGCAAGATCTCCAGTAGGACCAGTGTAAGGAGAGGGAGCAGGCAGTGGAGAGGAAGGCTCCAGTAGGGACTGCTACTGGACAGGCGGTGGACCCTCTACTGGAGGAGAAAGACCAAGAACCTGCTGAAGGAGCGGAACGAAGTACGGCCGAGGCCGCGCGGCAGCTCCAGTCTCAGCAGGGACAGCACCAGCACCCTCAGCGACAGCACCAGCGCCACCCACACCTCCAGCGCCAGGACCAACAGCAGCAGGCTCAGCACGAACGCCCTCAGCAGCTCCAGCTCCAGGAGGACCCGCAGGTCCAGCAGCTCCGGGACCGGCAGCACCCGCACCCTCGACGATCGAAGAAGCTCCAGCTCCAGCTCCAGCAGCACCTCCAGACTCAGCAGCACGCCTCCAGCGGCGAGCGAACCACTCGCGCAGCTCCTGTGGAGAGAGGGGCTCCCGGCGAGACGCAGCAGCAGGACAAACCCAGGCTCAGCAGCTCCAGACGCAGCACCCCCAGGCTCAGCAGCTCCCAGCTCAGCACCCCCAGGCTCAGCAGCTCCCGACCCAGCACCCCCAGACCCAGCACCTCCAGGCACAGCACCCCCCGGCTCAGCACCCCCAGGCTCCGCACCCACCGCAGTAGCACCCTCAGGCCCAGCACCCCCAGCAGTAGCACCCCCAGGCACAGCACCCCCGCGCACAGTACCCCCAGAGTCAGCACCCCCAGGCTCAGCACCCGCAGCAGGACCAGAGTCACCAGTAACCTCGACCGGGTCAACGGCGTCTACCTGGGACACACCTGAGGGGGCAGGAACCTGAGGGGGGAGGGGGTCTACCGGGGGGGGAACCGGCACAAGGAAGTCCGGGGGAGGGGGGAGGGAAGGAGTGCGGTAGGGGAAGAGACGGTAGAAGGGGACTGACTCCTCGAACGTGACGTCGTGGGAGGACAGAACACGACGAGAGGAGGGGTGGTAAAACTGCCACCCTGGGGCGTCAGTGGGGAAGCCAAGAAAGACACAGGGAGCAGCACGAGGGGACAGCTTGTCCGCAGACAAGTCGCGGACAAACGCCCGAGATCCCCAGACACGGAACACAGACGCATCGCCAACCTTCCCTGTCCACAGCAAGACTGGGGACATCGCAGGCCGAGAGACCCGGGGGTGAAGGTTGAGCTGATGCGCCGCGTACCTCACCGCAAACGGCCACAGAAAATGGGGGGCAGCCGCATGCATCATGGACGTACGAGCGACATCCATGACCATGCCAATGCGGCGCTCAGCAATCCCATTTTGCTGTGGTGAGTCCGGAAGCGTGAAGGTCTGGCGGATCCCCCGTGCACGACAGTAGTCTCGCATAAGGCGAGAAGAGAACTCTCCGCCTCTGTCAGAGTGCAGACGCAGAACAGGAAAGTCCGAGCCGAAGCTCTTCCTGAGCTGAAGACGAGCCTCGCGGATCCAGTCGATCAGCACCTCAGTGACCGCACCCTTGCTGCGCAAGGGGAGGACTGTGGTGTAACGCGAGTAGTCGTCAACCACCAACAGGAAGTATCGCTCGTAACCCTGCCCACGGACGGGGGCTGGGCCCCACACATCCATGTGAAGCGTCTGCAGGGGAGCCTCTGTCGGGGGGAAGTGGGAGGAGTGAGGAGTAGCCCGGAGGCGACCCTCGACACAGGGGACACAGGAAGGTCCTGGCCCGGAGGGGAGAGGAGGGAGAGACTGGGGAAGACCAGAGACAAGGACACGGGAAGCCATGCTCCGAAGACGGGGCAAGGAGGGGTGGCCAAGACGGTGGTGCCACAGGAGAGTCTCGTGAGACAGGAGGCGACAAGAACAGGGGGCAGACTCAGGACCTGACCGGGACGCAGCAGCAAGTACCTGACCCGACGCAGCCACCTGACCAGACGCAGGGACAGGAGGAGACTCAACGGTCAGGGTGTAGAGACTCGACCCCGGCCGACGCGAGAACGTGGCCAGGTGTCGGCCTGTGCGAGCCTCCGTGCAGTGGGTCACCCGCTGACGCGCAGGAGTGAACTGGTGAACACCCCCATCCTGCAGGTCCGCTCCACTCACCAAGTTCGTAGAGAACGAGGGAAGGTACAGACCCGACAGGGTGCCCGAAGGGGCAGCCGGACACGGGAGGACAGTGGAGAAGTGAGACAGGACAGGACCCCCAGAGGGGTCAGCAAGGGAGACCGCAACCGGCCTGGCGAGCGGCGAAAGGGTAGTGCGGTCTCGAAAGAAGGAGCGAGAAGCTCCGGAGTCAAGTGTGAAAGTGAGGGAGGACGAGGACGACTCAGTACCTGAGAACGCAGTCTCACCAGTACCTGAGAGCGCAGACGCACTGGCACCTAGAGCAGCAGCCTCACAAGCACCTAGCGCAGCAGTACCAATGCCCGGGTCGGGCTGGAAACACCGGTAACCCTCATTCTCCTCACTATAATCCACAACATACATAGCAGTAAGGATAGCATCAAAATCAAGATCAAAGATCGCTACACCAGCCCTGAGAAGCTCATCCCAGCGAGGGATCTCACTAGCCCCAGGGAACTGCTGACGCCAAGCGTCCGTCAGGCGGCCAAAGCAGCGCTGGGTGGCGTGGGCACCCCCACACTGCTCACCCGCGCGGTCGCCGGAACGAAGAACGTAGGTGCAGGGACCAGTACCCCCACCCCTCTGACGCCCAGCGTACCACTCACGAAGCTGCTGAGGCGAAGGGATGTCCCGTGAGCGCTGCTGCTGCTGCCGGTGCGAGCGCTGGCCACCACCACCGCCGCTACGCTGCTGGGTACCACCCCGACCAGCTCCACCTCCTCCACCACTACTGCCTCCGCCACTGCCGCCTCCACTGCCTCCACCTCCGCCGCCTCCACCTCCGCCGCTGCCTCCACAACCACCGCTGGCACCACCACCACCGTCTCCGCCGCTGCTGCCACCACCACCACCACCACCCCCGCCACTAGTCCCGCCGCCACCCCCACTCCCTCCGCCGCCACCGCCGCCACCGCCACCGCCCCCCCCAGCTCCACCCGCGCCCTTGCCTCCCTTGCCCTTGCTGGAGCGACGTCTCCCACTAGGGGCAGACGCCGCGCCGACCGACTCAAGACCAAGCAGGTCGGCAGCAGCAGCAGAGGCAACAGAGGGCAGCAAGGGGGAAGGAGAGCACCCCTCAAAGATGGGGGTGCGAGGGTCACCACGAGAAGCACCTACAGCGACTATGCTCTTCTCCGCTGCAAGGAGGGCCTTCTCGAGGAGGTCGACGGTGAGAGTGGTGGGACAGACTGCGAGAAAGTGGTCCCTGACGACGCGAAGGGAGTCAGGGAGGCGCGCGACTACGTAGTAGAGAGCGATGTACATGGGAGGGGGGTTCCTAGCGCAGAATTCAGCAGGAAGGGCGGCGCGGTAGCGAGTGTCACTAGTGCGGAGGTGCGTAATGAGGTCAGCGACAGTGGGAAAGGCAGAGAGGTCAGGAAAGAGGTAGGGAAGCATGAGACGGCTCAGTGCAGCAGTGGCAGGGGAGGAGTAGCGCGCAACTACAGCGTCGTACAAGGTCTGAGCACTCTTGTACTGACTAAAGTGCGCACGCTCAGAGGTAGGGAGGTGGCGACGCACAGCAAGACGTGCAGCAGCATCGCGGGTGGCCCACTTAGAGCGGACAGTGGGATCAGCATCAGCAGCAGGAGCAGGAGAGGCGCCAGAGGTGAGGTCAAAGAGAGAAAGGTCATCAGCCCTGTCGCACTGAAAGAACAGCTGCAGGTCGTCTAGCCAGACCTCAAAATCAATGGCGCGACCCTCAGCGTCAAAAGCTAGGACACTAGGGGTAGCCATGACGACGACTGTGAAGCAGTGCAAGCAGTAGGGGGGAGAGCACGCAGTGACAGTGGGACTGTGCTCACCAGGCAGGGCAGGTCGCGCAGCTCGACAGAAAAGCAGAACGGCGACCGGGCGGCTCGGGTGTACAGCGGATCGGCTCCCGGGCGGCTCGACGGCAGGGCGGCTCGGGTGCAGGGCGGCTCGGCTCCCGGGCGGCTCGGCTGCAGGGCGGCTCGGGTGCAGGGCGGCTCGGCTCCCGGGCGGCTCGGCTGCAGGGCGGCTCGGGTCCCGGGCTGCTCGGCGACAGGCGGCTCGGGTCGCGTAGAAGTGAGACGGGGCGGGGCCGCGTCAGGGCCGGCGGTAGGGCCGCGTAGGAGCCGGGGCAGGGCCGCGAAGGAGCCGGGGCGGGGCCGTGATAGGAGCCGGGGCAGGGCCGAGTAGGAGGCCGGCGGTGGGGCTGCTTAAGGGGCCGGCTACGGGGCCGAGTAGGAGCCAGCTGCGGGGCCGCGTGAGAGCCGGCGCGGGGCCGCGTAGGAGCCGGCGGCGTGGCCGCGTCAGGGCCGCGTAAGGGGGGGGGGCCGGCGCGGGGCCGCGTAAGAGCCGCGTAGGAGCCGGCGCGGAGCCGCGTAGGGGCCGGGGACGGGCCGCGTAAGGAGCCGGCGCGGGGCCGCGTAGGAGCTGGCGGCGTGGCCGCGTAAGGGCCGCGTAAGGGCCGCGTAAGGGGCCGGCGCGGGGCCGCGTAAGGAGCCGGCGACGTGGCCGCGTAAGGACCGCGTAAGGGCCGCGTAAGGGGCCGGCGCGGGGCCGCGTAAGGGCCGCGTAGGAGGCGACGCGGGGCCGCGTAAGGAGCAGGGCGGGGCCGCGACAGAGTGGGCGGCGAGGCCGCAGGGGAGAGGGCGACTCGAGGGGTCGCTAAAAAAAATCGCGCCTCGGGGGGCGCGCTTCGGTGGGCCCAAAAAAAAATTCGGTCCTGGAGGGACCTAGCTCTATACCATGTGCAAATGAGTAAGCAGGAATGAGATGAACTATGAATGAAAGCAGTACAAATATGAAACCCTAACTGGGTTGTACCCCCTATGGGATACCCCACTACAGCCTACACAGCAGTATAAGCTATAGATATGTTCTGACAGTTGCTGCAATGTCACTTCGGCCACTCGGGTGCAATTGTGCGCGCCGATCTTTTTCCGAAGCTTTTCCGAAGATTTCCCACAGGAAAAGCTACCGTGTACATTTTGTGCAAACTCGGAATTTCGCGATGAACGCGACCATTATCGAAGCTAAGAACATCGACACGGCGATCAAGCAGCAGAGCCTCGTGGTCGTGGCGAAAATTAAAGCCGCGAAAGACGCGCGAATTCCACTGGCAAAGGCTTCTGCCGCTCGGGCTCAATCCGAAACCAAGTTCACCTCGCTCAAGTCGCGCGCTGATGGATTTAAGGCGGCTGCGGACAAAGCGGAGAAAGAGAACGCCGACTACGAGGCTGCTAACAAAAACGGAAACGGCAATGGTAATGGAAACGGGAACGGTAACGGTAATGGAAAAGGAAACGGCAACGGAAACGGAAACAGCAACTAAAACGGCTAGCTCGCCTGCTCTGCTTAAAAACCACCCGAACCGCGCCCATCCGACCTCCCATCCTCCAGATACTCCCGACGCTCCCTGACACCCTCAATGCCCATCGGTCGTTTTCCTGACTTGTCTTTTGATGTTTCGTTTTTTTACTCTGAGCCCAAAAAAAATGCATGTGGGAGCCTGGCTAGGCTCTCCGCCTTGGGAGCATGCTGTCTCTGACGAGACACGTTTGCTGCCTGAGAAATAAAGGCATTTTGTGATATTTATTTGTTCAATGAAATCGCTATTCAGAAGGTTGTTGGGCCTATGATTCGCTCGCTAAAAATGTTCAAGGGAAATACTTATTTGTACAACATTCATGTACTCCTCAACAATTGTCTTGCAAACGTTACAAACGAGTATGCATTTAATGGAGAGGAATGCGACTCGCATATTCCACATGTCATACGCCACGGGCAAACACCATACTTCTCTCTTCGTACAGCGTTGATAGGTCAGCCCGGGTCACGACCTTCGACTTCCTTCAAGCAAGCATGGCTGATTGCGCCATCCATAGGTTCCAGCCATGCAGGTGAGCGAGCGCTTCTCCTGGCAAAGTCGGGCCCAGATGTGACGGTCGGAGGCTTTCTTTCTCGAAAGCATGTGTAACATATAGCAATCAGCGAGAGCATTATATTTTCGCAATCGTTTCGCTCACAACTCTTCAAGGAGAATTCCGGTGCATTTGTAACATTCGCATGAGCGACTTGCGTCGACTTTTGTTCGCACTGCCTCGTACCCCTGCCCTCTGGCAAAACCCACATGCAGAATGTGGGAACAAGCCGCGCCCAGTTGCCACCCTCGTGCGTGACTTGTCTCCATCTCGCGAAAGGAAGAAATCCAACCGAGTCAACCATACCGACAAGCAAGCTCCATAAAAATGGCCGAGTGAAAAGAACGAAAATCACAACAATCTTCAGCATTTGAAGCTTTAAGCCTCCCACTCTTCCCATCTCACTTCATCAGTCCCCTGCGCTAGACGTCGGCGCTTCTGCGACCGCGAGTCACTCATTTAACGCGATACTTACTTTCCACACTCCAAGGCTCTCAGCCTATCAGGCTTCTCAATCAACCGCAGCCATGAGTCAGTTCAACGTTTCGTTTTGGGCCATCGTGCTACTGTCGGCGTTGGCCATTTCCACCTTCTCGGCCACCGATGCGCAGTCTTACTTGGCGACTCGCGCGCAAGCCGTCAGAAAGGCCGCGAGCGACGCGGACGCGCTTGCGCTTACAGCGCAGGCGGAATACAACGAAAAGCTCAGGGCGGAAAACACGGCAAAGAAGGCCGTTGACGATGCGGACGCGGATCTGAACGCTGCGCAGACGGAGCTCTCGAACAAGAAGAAGCAGCTTGATGATACCAAGGCAAAGGGCGAGAAGGCACGCCAGGACATAATTAAGTTCAAGCAGACAGTGCGCGACGAGCAGGAGTATAACGACGACCTCGAAATGGATGTCGGCGAAGCGGATAACGACGAGAAGGAATTCGCAAAGGATATCGTCGACGCCCAGGCGCGCGCGAATCTCACGGCGGATCTGCTGACGGAGCAGAACGCGATCGTGAAGGAGGCGACTGACGACTCTACGTACTACGCGCGGCTCGCGACGAAGCTCAAGACACCCCAGGCGCAAGCGGATGCGCTCGAGGCGCAGTCGATTCGCACTCAGGCGGTTCGGATCCAGGGCGCGCTTGTGAAGCAGGCGCAGCGAGCCGTTGAGCGCGTCGGTAGGATGCAGTTTGAGTGGTCTGCGACCAGTAAGGACAAAACCGAGACCAGGAAGAAGGCTGACGATCACAAGGTTGTGTTGAACAAGGCTAAGAAGGACGCCGCCGACGCCGAGACGGCTTACAACTCGGCTACTGTCGAAGCTAAGAACATCGACGCGGCGATTAGGCAGCAAGCCAACGTGGTGGTCGCGAAGACCAAGGTCGCGAAAGACGCGCGAATTCCGTTGGTGAAGGCGTCTACCGCTCGGGCTCAATCCGAGACCAAGTTCACCGCGCTCAAGTCGCGCGCTGACGGGTTCAAGGCGGCTGCGGAGAAGGCGGAGAAAGAGCTCGCCGACAACGAGGCCAGGTTCGGTAAGGGTATCGCCTTCGGCAGAGGCGACTAGATCGCTTGGTCTGCATGAATCCACCGCCAAAACCTCGCCGTTCCGACCCCTCATGCTCACCGATACTCCCCACACTACGCACCCTCCCACCCAATTCTCCCAATGCTCCCGCCCGACACTCCCGACGCGCATCGATCGTTTTCTTCGTGTCTCCTGCTGCTTCATAATCTGTGTTATTGTTTTCCTTGGTCCCAGAAAATGCCTGCTCGAGCCTACCTTGGGCTTTGGCTCTTTGCCTTGGGAGCGCACTGTCTTTGTCTGATTCGCTAGCTTGGACACGTGTGCTTCTTGAGAAATAAAGGCATTTTGTGATATTTATTTGTTTAATGATGAATGCAATATTTGATAAAGACTGTTCTGCCCAAGATACACCCCTTGGGAAGCTGAAGGAACTCACCAGACGGATTCAGGGACCGGGAAGGATGATTCCAATCTTGTGATAGAATGCCACCCACTTCTCAAAGATATACCGTACATTGCCTTCGAAAACTGCACGTGTTTGTTACGTACTTCGGATGAGATGTGGTCTCGATGTCTGTTGCACACACCCTGTGTGTCCTTACACTCGTTTTTTGCCCAAAACCTGGTATGCCTTTTACTTGAGAATACGGCTTAGATTTGTGCAGTTGAAGTGACAATATCGAAGTACACTGGACTGTTGACACTTTGGGGATAGAGGACAGAAAGGCTGTCTTGATGTGAGCATCCATGCATAAGGTACACACTAATTACATGGCCATACAAAGCATACAATTGGAGAGTAATGACACTCTGGTCGGGTCCTGTTCTGCTCATGGTGACTTGTGAGTGGACTCGAAAGTCACTAGAGTCACTAAGGTTCTGTGCTGCTCATCAATCCAACCCTGTAGTTGCCTCCAGATGATTCAGCTCTGCAATCTCCTCTATAAACCTGTGGATCACATGAGACAGGGAACAAAATTTCACACAAAGAGTTGTGAACCGACTCCAAGATTCATTCAGCTCTAAAATCTCCTTATAAGAACCTCTGAAGCACAGGTCAGGTTGCCCTGGGAAGACAAATACACACAAAGAATGGGCAGAGTCGATGCTGATATTGGCTGCCCGTGAAACACCACGTGCCAAATCTTTTTTTTTTTTTGAGTCTGCCCATAACATGCTCGGGCTGCCCGTGAAACTACATGTGCTACAGTATTGGGCAGCTCATCTGGCGAAGTTGGGGAGCCCAGTGCTGCCCAGTAAGAGCAGAAGGTGGGATTGGCTGCCCGGGGAAACATCATTTGATATGGTACCTAAGTTTGTTTCG